GGAGCCGAACACGAACACACTTTTTGAGCTCGAAATATAAACGAGCCAAACACGAGTTGAGCATGGCTCGCTCGCGTTCAGCTCGTTTACACCCCTAGCTGAGGCACGCTTTGAAGCTCGTTTCAAGAGCATAGTAAAGCAAAGTGGACAACTAATTCATTTCACTGAGCCACGCTTTAAAGTGCTAAAGTTAATTTTGTATTTTATAAGTTTAAGCAGCAAACTATTTTTATTAAAACTTGTTCAAAATTTTAATTTGTAGGTTTACCCTTATATTATAAGTTAATTTTGTACTTTATAAGTTTAAGCAGCAAACTATTTTTATTAGAACTGGTTCAAAATTTTAATTTGTAGGTTTACCCTTATATTTTCCTTCAAATTATGTGTTGTTCACTTTTTCAATTTTATATCAACTTTTAAGGCATACTTTATATTTTATAATTATTAATGAATGTATTTATATATTAATAGTATTATATAACCTATTAGCACTTTGGTTACAAAAGCGCTGCTTTGCTTTGTGCTTTGCGCTTTGAAGCAAAAATAAAAACTTGTGCATCGATTTGCACTTTGAGTTTTGATAACGTTGTGCAAAAGATCAAAATACTAGGTGCAAAATATTTATAAAATACGACTTACTCGGCACTGCTAGACAAAAATCACCGCATTAGTTAGTCAAAATCTGGTTCCTCATCATTAATTTCTTCCTCTTCCTCCGTTTCTTCTCCTAACACTTCTCCTTCTTCTTCGTCTTCTATATCATCATCACTAACAATAAAACCTCCTAGAGTTTCATCATCTTCATTAACAAGTTCTTCCTGTTCATCTTTGAATCCTTTCTTCAGAGACTTGTTACCATCCCGAATATTAGTGTGTGGTTTCTTTGGTTCTTTTGATCTAGTAGAGTAGCTTGGCCTCTTAGAACTTCCATGTTTTGCAGCAAAAATGCTCAAATCCTCATTCTCTTCAGCCCAGTCTTCATCATTTTCATCACCTCCTTTCTTTTTTTTCCGATGCTTAACCTTCAAACTGGTTCTTAAAGCATCCTCATCATCGTCTTCATCGGTCACACACCGAGGGTCCTCAAGAAACCAACTCCACCGCGTGAAAGGGCGAATTTTGCGCCTCGGATAGTGATCAAACTCATGACCCCTCACCAAGAATCCAAACTCTGCACTAAGAAGACGTAAAAGTGTTGTCATATTCAGTGTTAGATAAATAAAAAAATTATGTAAATAACAATACTATCAACCAAAAATGGTAAATTCAGTTCAATGTCATTTAACTAGCACAATAAAAATCTATTTGAATGATACAAAATTATTATAAATTATATTCTCTTTTCCATTAGTTTCAGTCATCAAATAGATCGGCATCTATATGTCATCTTGATACAAGAAACATATGAATTAAATATAAAAAAATAAGTAAATAAAAAAGGCCACCAGAGCAAATAAGTGTCATCAACCAAAAACATAGATAACACATTAAGGGGCTGCCTTGCAAATGACTTATGGTGGTATCTAGGCAAGATTTAAGCAAAATCTTGCTAGATGGTCATTTTGGATAAAATAAATCTTGAGATGCAGTAAATCCAGATTTCAAGGATTTTGGCCATAAATCCCGGCTTTAGCAAATCCTACTAATTGGTGGATTTAACTTCGCGCGCTTCAAATTTAAGGCGCAGCTCGATAAAGCTTCACTAATTTTTAAATCCAAGCAGAAATTGCCAAACAAATTCAATGGATTTACAAAATTAAGTAAATTTGTTGCCAGATAGTTTTCCAGATTTAACCCGTTCACGATTTAGTAAATTCGGATTTACGAGATTTACTAACTCCTAGAAACTTAATCTCATCTATAGCATAATGCAGCGAAATATTTACAGAAATCAGCAGTAGAATATGCTTCAAACAGAATTAAAGAACAAGTAAAGAAATCACTCTCACCTTTCACTGGATCAATCTTTGAGATATCCAAAGAACCAATCTCTAAGCCTGAATCTTCCCAAACCATCTCATTTTTCCCTCCGACTTCCTCCAACTTCTCCCTTTCCTCTTCCTCCTTCCTCCGCAGCTGCGTCCTTCTCTCTCGCCTCGCCAATGCATCCAATACACTGCTCTCCACCTCACCCTTTCTTCCTTCCCTCCTCCTAACAAAGAAGAAATTAGGGTTTTTTATTGATAATGAAATGCGATCGCCTGCTTTCAGCACTCCTTTCTCCGCCTTTCTATAAATCCTCTTTCCTTCTCCGTCTCCACTGCAAACCAATATGGGATTTTTACCAACAACTTCAAATGACAGGAGAGGTTCCTCAGCATGGTTATTAGTATCGAGATTGTCGGCCCTGGTATCTAGATATTGGAGGGAAACTTGGTAGCGGGAGATGGATCGATCGGAAGAAGCCTAACCCTAGCTCCCTCCCGATTAATGTCGATGATCCGAATTCTAAGGGAATCGAATTGCCGTCTTCTTGTTCAAGCTCCATGTTGACCTAAAACGAGCAGGTGTCAAACTCTGTCCATGATTCGAAGGAGACTGAATTGCTGGGTAAGGCAGATGCATCGTAAGCCAAAGCTTTTATATCGCATAAAAAAATTACTATTTTAATTTTTAAAATGAAACACAATGTAAAAACTAAAGTTTAGATGCTAAATATACAAATAGATAAGAATTGAGTTGTTATATCAATAAATCTTTCAATAAATTAATATAATATATCATTTCTAATTTTTATTAAAATAAATTATAGAGAGAGAGAGACATGCCAAGATAAAAATGAAACACAAATATATTAATCACACAGAAACTTACAGTACTCCAAGTTTGAGAGTAACACCAGGTGAACACTTCTATTTTACAATGAGAAGACTCTCTAAAATTTGCACATCTTAACAGAATACAAAACTCATTTTTATAGATGAGGGTAGAACCAAACTTATGCATTATAATTTGATAAAAGTTAACACATCCATTTGATGTGACATAAAGTCAAAATAATTACAGACATTATTATACTAATCGATATTATTTCAACAGTGAAACATTATTCCAACAACTGATACTATTTCAACCATCATAATTATTATCAATAATTTTCTTCAGTAGTGACCTTAGTGGAGCATCACATCATACATTCGGTCTTGTTATGCCGTCAGTTGAAACGATGTGGGTCACCATTCGTTCTTAATTTTCTTCATCGTCTGATCTTTTATTTGATAATGAGCAATCGTCTTCGGATTTAAATAATTCTTTCATTTTTTTATATAATTATTGCAATCATTGTGTAATCTGCTCTGAAGATTCTCGAGAATATATTTTTTTTTTATTGTGTTGTGAATTTCTTTTAAAGAAAACACTCGGGAATATGTACTTGAATATTTGTCATATTAGATGCAATTACATTGTTGATATAAACTATTTTGTCATTGATAAGAATTATTGACCATCATTTGATAAAAATGTTATCCATAAACATTTGATATTAATATTGTCTTGCCCATGGGATAAGTTATAAACGAAGATCCACGGTATTTGGGCCTGTCAAAAAAATAATAGCTCACACATGTCATCAACTAAAAATTTATTTTTTATTTTGTTGAGCTGTGGAGAGGATTGCACCTGCGTTGGGTAAAGATTGGAAATTGCTTCTGGAGGGATTTCATTAGTGACATCAAATTTATCCCACAATGCTAGAAACCAATTTGATATTTTATTTAGAATTTCCAGCATTAAAACAAACAGTCAAAAATTCTTATGTCTTGGATTGATGATTAGGAAAACATGATGCATGACTTGAATATAAGTACAATAATAAAAGTAGATTAATTTTTGTTGATGAGATATTCGATGAACAAATTCGACTTGTTTAGTTTAGAAAAGAGTTAAACCCCCATTCCTTGTGATGTAGTATGCGATTAAATGTCGTTTAACTATATGCAATAGATTAATTGAGTTCATTATAATTGTGTTGAATTTCAACAAAGTTTAACCAAGTTAATATTACTTCATAAGATTCACGGTTAAAACTATCTTGAGGATAGACATTTGTGTCAAAATTTCGTTCTTAGATTTTCCAATAATCAACAATATCATAATCTTCTAAATTTAATTTGAGAATTTTTTTCTTAAAAGATTTTTGCATAAATTCAGCAACTTCTTGAATTTGTAAATCTGAAGATTGAGGTCCAGATGTAGAGGCGGATGTCATTAGGCTTTCATACAGATACTTCTGTAAATAAAAAAAAACTTGTCCCATAATATATTTGTGTTTTGTTTATATCCTGGTGTAAATGGTTACAGAGCCATGAATGGTTAAATCTTTTCTGAAGTTCTTTTTATATACGTTTACTGGATAGGTATATCCTGTCTCATAAAATCGAGTGTTGTCTTACAAGTTAATATTCTTGATTGATATGCAAGTTTATACTGAGTTATTATTGTTCTAGCTGAGCTTAATTCACGAGTCAACGTCGCTAATATTTTTATGTGATGTATATTAGTAAATATGAATGTGTTGTAAAGTATAAAGTTTTTATCTAAATATGTAAGGGTTTTATTAAAAAAGTTATAAAATGTATTATTCTTGTATGTTGGCTTTATTTAAAATATTAGATTTTATAAGAGTTTTTAAATAGATGTAATACTATTTTAATAGATATAAGAGTAATCATATGGAAGATTTTTTTGGGCACAAATTTAACTCAACCACAAAATTATGTGCAAATTTCTCTCTGACTTCCGTCTCAATCCATTTTGAATATAAGATTTTTATCCAAATATGTAATGCGTTTTATTTAACACAAGCATAATATTTTGTTGGAGATATGATCCTAAATAAAATTAAAAATGTTTTTAACTTTTTATTGTAATTTAATAATAAATCAAGATTTTTAACTTAGCCAAATTTTAATATCACTTTATATTATATTTGAATTTGAACTAACCAATAGTGTAGCCTCATGTTAATATTTTTCATTAATTTTATATACTCAAGTACTCAACAATGATCTGCACGGATTTCAAGACAAGTTGACGATCAAAGGGAATTAGAATATTTTTTGTTATTCTCTTTGAAGCAAAGATAAATATGTAATTTTTATATTTTTATATTTTTTATCCCTCATATCTTCTATAAATAGAAGGGTTAATGTATGAAGAGGCTCCCCTCACTTTTAATGAATGATCTTACAAAATAAAATGGGTCGGAGAACCCGAGAACACCTCATTTTCCCCCTGTCAGAGGAAGTCTCTCCCCCTCTCAATTTCTTCGGCACGATCTACCGAACAAATTTGAATTCAACATTCATTAAAATGCAGTGAGTGTGGATCGTGCCATTAATAAGAAGAAGAGCAACACCAAAAAAGCGTGTGGTGATGGCGACGGCGTTGGTGATGGCGAAGGAACTTGTTGTTGATGTGTTCATGGCATATGATGTTATGGGGAATTATTCTTCTCTTAGCGGGCTTCTCTTTAGGGCTAAGCTGACGGAGAGGAAGGTGAAAAAGTATTGCATGTATAATTATAGATTTGAGGGAAAGGCTGCAGCCATTGCAGATTGGACTCATTGTTTGATTCATATTATTAGGAGAAATGGAAGTTTTCCCTTGAGGGGGATGAAATAATGTTTTTTGGAGTGATAAGATGTGCTTGTTTGAATTTTTATAGAGTGATAAGATGTACTATTATTTTTTTATTGCTAGTTTAAATTTTTTGTGTTTTTATTCATTGATGGGATGCATGATTATTTGGTTATTGATGATATTTTCATGGTTTAATGATCAAGTGTGACGTGCCATATCTAATATGACATTTAATGTAAAAATTGAATTTTAGGTGCCAAATATTAAATAATTCTTTTAGATAAATATATATTTTTAGTTTCGTGCTTTCACTCCACCAGCCGATGAGAAAATATTACATCAGGACTCAGCACGTAGAGTTACGTGCGGAGTTCAATGAAATCATGTCATGTGGAAGTGATAAAAAAAAAATCGGTTCGGTAACACAGAGGAATATTCTCCTCGTGTTATTTCGTATAATTCAGGTGTTATTGTGTGCTGAGAATATTCTTAGTGTTATAATAACACAATAACACATCAATAGCACTTGAATAACACACAATAACACCCAAATAACATCGGATGAATATTCTCTTGTACTACTGGGCAGATTTATTTTTTTTTTCTATCACTGCAACGTCGTGTGTTTTCATTGGACTATGCACGTAACTCTACGTGTAAAGTCCTGATGCAATACTTTCTCCTAGATGACAAGGCATGGACTTCAAGCTTAACAAATATATGTGTAAAATTGTTTGAAATTCTTCATAAAAAAAATTTTCTATTTAAAAATTAAATTATTCAAGATTTTAAATAATGTAAAAATAAATAATTTTATGCTACATAAGTAAAAATTGAGCCATACTCAATACAAGCCCTTAAAAAACATAAAATAAAATTGATGGAGAAAAATAATGAGAAGAATATATAAAGGTTGAAAATTCAGGGTTTTAAATGCAACAAAAATATTTTTCTTTCACATTTCTTTTTTTATTTATATTTTATAAACCATCCCCAACATGACCTAATAATTGGATTAGGAGATTGTCATTCAATTTTAATATACTGAAATATATTGTTAATTTAGAAAAAATTAATAAACATTTTAATATTTTCACTATTTTATATGGAATACCCCCATAAATAATTCCATTATTTCTAAAATTAATCAGCAAATAAAAAAAAAAACTTAAAATTGATTATACATATCACAATATCAAATTATAACGCCACAAATTTAGAAAAATTATTTCATACAGATACCGTATGTAGAAATGCATGCGATGTTCGATCATCACTATCATGGATTTAAGTGGGTTGCATTTTTAACTTTAAAATAAAATTTTTTTATAGACGGTGAAGATCAGATATCAGATACATTTCTGCATACGGTGTTCATATGAAATAATTGTTCCACCAACCTAATGAAAGCTAGCCCCCGCTTCCTTCAACCTGGAAACGAGCCGCCCACTCAGGTGC